ATCTGTAAAACCGAACTAAAACAATTCGAAGGCCGTAATAATTGAAGTTGCAGACATTTAGATATGTCAGCTTTAAAGGAAAATCTGTCGTAAGTGAAGTTGGAAGCATAACTTTAACGTCCCCTGTACGCTTACTGTGATTTCTCACCACGCATGAACTAACATGTAATAAGTCAGTTGGTATCACAAATGGTCCCTATAAGTTACAAGCAACCTAAGGTCATCAAAGTTGACACACTTAGGATACCAAAAATTCAAAATACTACTATTCATTATTGAGAGAGTCTCGAGATACCTCTCTTTGAAGTGTCTGGAAGGCCAGAAACCTTGGGAAAATGAATATGATCAACATTGAACAAAGCGTCATTGAAACATCTAGAAAGGATAGAAGCGTCTGTCACGGATGTGATTGGATATTCACCTTTACTGGCACCACATTTAGTATAATTTCAGAAACTTCCGGAAGCCTAGGATATTGTGTGGCTTTTTAAGTATCCTCGTTTTTCTGTACATAAACTAACCTTATGATAAAGCTTCTGCTATCATTTTGCACCATTTCAATTGTTTCATTTCATGTATGGAAGTGGTTAGGTTTACTGAAACAGGCCAGTAAGACAGTTCAGATGAATCGGCAGCAACATGTATCAGCCAGAATACAAGCAAACCATTGACGACAGAATATACACGCCATTTAAATAAGCTTGAAATCAATTCAAGAAAGCCCACGAAATCGACTGATGGACACGAATTCAGACAATATGAGTAGCGCCTCAAATCACTGGATCTTCGCCCATTAGAAAATATACATACAAATGAAACATCGAGGAGAAAGTGATTCCCGTGATCATAAACGCTCTGTTAATACTCAGGACTCAAAGTGTAAACAGTTCGCTTATTCTGTTCATCGAAGGGCAGTGATTTTGCACTTGTTGTGACTATCCTCGCTTTTGTGTAATTGTTGCATCAAAAGCATTCTTGGTCTATATTAAAGTACTTTGGTTAAGGTTTGAAATCTTGCTAAAGTTTGTCATGTGGTACTTTTTTACTCATTGACTGACGCTTGTCTTCATACTGTGATCATATTGTGTTTTACACCTTAATCTGATTAAAATGGTTGGTATTACTCACAAATGTGTACAACCAATCTGTTTGTTCCCTGTACAGAAAGGAATGAAGTGTGATGAATGCAAAAGGTGGTACCATAAGATGTTCACCCGTTTACGTCCCACAGCATACAAAAGATGTTCGAAATCCAACTCACATTGGCTTTGCATGTTTTGCTGTGTAAATAAGACTAGGCTAGAAACCTATTGGCTTTGGCCTGTATGAAGAACGATGGCGCATGCGTTGATAACATGAGCACTGACAGTGAAGAATGTGTCAGTGTAGTACCTGCCGTTATGAGACGCCTCAAAAACCCAACTTTTCTCGACGGAAAAGTGAAATCTCCGTTAACATTACCGAGGGAGGAGGTAACACCTGACACTGACTTTGATAACCACGCACCTCTAGTGGAAACTGAAGATCTGGATAAAACCGTCACCGTTTCAAATAGTCCCGGTGTTCTGAGGGATGAAAAATGGATTGCAGTACGGAGAAAACGAGACGAAAAGAAAAAAGCTATAGGCAGCACGCAGGTGGTTAGCAAGTCATTCGTGGACTCCAATTGTGAGTCATAAAATGCACAACCAAAATCTGATAGTAAGAGGAAAACCCACCAAGGCGCGACTGAAAAGAAGAATCTTATATCATCGAATATTATTGTAAGCAAATTGCTGGAGTCAAACGACCCTGATCCGAAAATTAGACACACACATGATTTAGAGAGGCTGGGAGAATATATTCGTAATATCTTACCAGATAACTCTAAAGGAGTTCATGTCAAAAAGCTGGTTAGAATAGGCAAGAGGACCGAGGACACTTTTGAACCTCGACCATACGGACTCCTTAAAGTAATCCTAGGATCAGAGAAGCAACGGGATCTCCTATGAAGTAATGCTCGTTGTCACGACAATTTCGATATCCGAGTTAGACCTGATATGTCTCTCAAAGATAGAATAAAAAGAAAGCACTAGCTGAACTAGAAACCCGTCGACAAAACGGTGAGAAAAATCTCCAGTTAGTGGGTTTTCGGATAGTCAGGTCTTGGAAGCGAATACTATCAAGGCCTGTGTGGATAGGCCGTTCTACCTAGGAGTCTTATTTGCAAACGCTCGTAGCCTAAGCAATAAGTTCTATGAACTAGAAGCATTGGTGGACAGATTAAGGCCACTCATCATAGCAGTGACAGAAACTTGGTTAGTCCATGACTTAGACATTACTCCAAAATTATCCGGATACCACTACCTAAGGAGTGATAAACATAGGAGTGGAAAAGGAGGTGGTGTCCTGTTATATACAGCCAACAATATAAATATCCGCTCCCGTGCTAGCCAATTCCATGACAGCGGTACTTGTGAAGTCATTAGCTGTAAATTGGATATCGGATGTAGTACATTTACGCTCGGTGTCATCCATCGCAGCCCAATCTGCTTAGCCGATGACTTTACTTTGGAGCACATTCATCTTTGGAGTTGGACTTAGATGACCACAGAAGGATCTATAAACTCCTTTGATAGTAGGTTCCTGATAACAATAATGGAGCATGCATTAGTGCAGCATGTATCCAAACTCACACGTTTTGGTGCTAACCAAGGTTCTTCTCTGTTGGACTTGGTAATCACTCATGAGACTTAAGACATTGTCGATCTAAGTATTCTTCCACCGTTAGTGAACAGCGATCACGCTGTATTGTCATTCACGTTTAGAACTAGGGACATGTTATACGGTCAGGTCATACCCAGCCCAAATGTATGGAAAGATAATATATCAGCCATTCAGGAATGCGCTGTTAAGACGGATTGGTTTGTAGATACTAGCTTACCAGTTAAAGAAGCATGTTCTGTATTTAAAGATAAGTTTAGTTTAGTTACGTCCTCGTTCATACCATACCTGGTACCGCGAAGATAGAATAAGAGTCCACCATGGATAACTAAACCAGTCAAAAACCTTCTTAGAAGAAAGAACAAGCATCAGAATATGTTCATATTTACTGGATTAGAACAATACCGATCCAGTTATTGTAAGACTAAGAATGCCTGTAAAGCGTTAATAAGTAAGACTGGACGATCATATGAAAAGTAATTGGTTAGGGATTCTAGATATAGTCCGAAACAGTTATTCTCGTATATAAAAAGGCGGACACAGAGAAGCGATGGAATTCCATCACATTTGATACAAGAAAATTCGTTAATCTTAGCAGAAAATAATACCGAAAAAGCTGAAGCTTTATCGGAATATTTCAGTAAAGTGTTTTCTTTCACTAATGAGGAACGACCAAAGATTCATTGTGATCGTGACAGCTCACTGATGGATCCTGTAGTCATTGAGAAAGGTGCTGTTTTAAGGCTACTTCAGCACCTCAAACCTGATAAGTCTAGTGGTCCTGATAATATTCATCCTAGGATTATGAAAGCCATATCAGATGTGATTGCCGAACCATTAGCGATACTGTTTGGCATGTCTCTAAAGCAGTGCAGACTGCCCAGAGACTGGAAAGACGCTATAATAAGTCCGGTGTATAAGGCTGGGAGTAGGGATTTAGTTAGTAACTATAGAGCCGTTAGCTTAACTAGTGCAGTTGTAAAACTGGTGGTAAAAATCATTCGGATATCTGTTATAAACTATGTTGAAGGGTATAATCTTCTCTCCAGGGAACAACATGGTTTTCGGAGAGGTGTGTCGTGCTTGACACATCTTCTCATTGCAAGAGAAGATTAAGATGCTGCAAAAAAACGCAATATTCCTATAGATAAGATCTTCGTAGATCCAAGTAAGGTCTTCGATAAGGTCTCCCACTCTGGTCTTAAATTCAAAGTGGAACGCTTTGGAATCCATAATACAGTCGTAGATTGGATAAATAAATTTCTCCATGACAGGAGAAAAAGGGTAAGGGTTAATGGGGCTCTTTCCTCGTGGGCACCTGTAAAAAGTGGAGTTATCCAAGGTACAATCCTCGGTCCTCTTCTCTTTTTACTTTATGTAAATGAATTACAAATTGTAGCAAAATCAACCGTTCTAATATTCGCTGATGTCATCAAAATTTGGAGACCCATACACGGTATGTCAGATAGGACGGTATTACAGAATGATCTTAGCTCATTGGTGGCATGGTTAGACAGGTATTCACTTGAAGTAAATCCTAATAAGAGTGTGGTGATGCAGTTAAATAACAATGATGAATCATATCACTATACAATATGTGGATTCGTACTACCCAAAGTAAGAAACTATAAAGATTTGGGAGTCATATTAAGTACTGATCTCAAAACCACTAGTCACTGTAAGGCTGCCTCTGCGAAAGGCTATAGGGTATTATGGTCTGTTCGTAGGTCTTTTCAGTATTTAGATGATGAAATGTTTAGATTACTATACCCGATTTATGTGCGACCACATTTAGAATACGGGATTCAAGCAGCGAGTCCTTGTTTCAAGTATGAAGAAGTTATGCTAGAACGAGTCCAACGACGAGGTATTAAGGTGGTACAAGGTCTATCTGGCCTATTTTATGAAGACAGGCTGAGACATCTCAACTTATTTCCGTTATCTTACAGTAGAATACGGGGTGATCTAATATTGGCTTATCGTATAATGAACAACGACCTTGACATTAACATTTCTTATCTTTTACTTCCGTCCAGAACTGATCATTTTAGAGGACATTAGAAGAAAGTTCAAAAACTGAGACTAAACCGTTTACGTCTGGAGTTTCGTTCCTCGCACCGAGTAGTGAACTATTGGAATTCTCTACCTGAACACGTAATATCAGCACCTTCTGTTGATATATTCACAACGAGATTGAACGTCCACAGTATTTCAAACGGCAAGGATTAATATAGGTCGATAGACCTCTTATCCTTATTACTGAAGGTTGAAGACTAAGGATTGTAGATTTAAGGTCAATGCGCGCGCTTCAAAAGAAGCGTAACTATTCTTTCCAACTGCTGTCCTATTGTTTATGTTAGTGAATTTATATGGGTATAACTTCATTCCGACTTCCATGTGTCTCTCTATAACGCTTGATATATGGTCCTTTCTTTTATGGAAGCCGGTTTGCATGTCATACGTACCGAATCTACAAATTTTCAAAAAAAATTGAGACAAACGCGGCAGGAACCTCGCACTATTTTAGATATGCACTTTTATTTCTAATTTTTTCAACATTTTAACGGACGCGAGGGTTAGCAGTTGCATTCCTAAACTTTTGAAAGGAATGTTTTGTAAAATTAACCTTGAACTTACGCAAGATATTCAGACTAGGAAAATTCTTTTGACTTTCTATTTAAAATCTCAGAATTACTTATGTGGAGGTCTCCAGGTTCACGGACATTTTCCCAAAATCTATTTATTGCCGTTTCCTTTAGGAAATTTCTATTTTTCCACAATAAACCTCGAAATATCTGCCTAATGGGTATTTTTACTTTATATTCTCAACTTAATAGACACGTCCTGACCCATAATTCTTACTGAAATTTGACCTTATACTCAATACCTTTCTGAGAATTTAGTGTTAACTTTGTTGTCTTTGTGCTCTCTTCTCATACTTTGGTTACGGTTCTTGGTTTGTTAGTGATATTTACTTTAGAGGGACGTAGTTTTGCTGTTTGGTTGCACTAGTTACGGTTAGTTTCGTAGTTATCTGTGGGTTTATGCATCTTGTAACCTGAGTGCGTTTGCCTTAGACTGATAGGGTCTGAGACCAGCAGTTATCACGTTACTAGAATTTCCTTAATTATAGTGTGCAAAGTATTGAAAGGGGAACTTTGAATCCGGAAGCAGAAAAAGAAAACAATGGTTCGAAGCAGTAATTAAGCAAACTAATGACGAAAACATGAATAAGCAAAAGTCTAAATATAACAAGTAAACATATATGGTAAGCAAAGATGGATAATGGCTAGCAGTGGAATCCAGGACGCGCGTTTCGTCCTATTTGGGACTCATCAGCTGGATGTACTTGCATCTCAGAGTTAATGTTCACTCCGGGACTCGAACCCACTGCTAGTTACTATCCATCTTTGTTTATAATGCTTGTAAATTAAGGCAATATCGAGGCATACGCACAGTATGCACATATGCCAATAAGAGACTGAACAATTTCAGTCCTAAACATCAATGGAAAGATTCAAATAAAACAATATCAAGTGAATAGATGGCAAGGTCCGATATAGTAATGGGATGGCCCTTTTTTGCCATCGACCTATAGTATGTGGTAGTAATAATGATAAATAAGTTAGAAGTGCATTGGGTACATCCATTCCAAGCGGGGAATAATAATCCATAAGTGTGCACGTGGTTGTAAATAATCTTGAAGCTATCAGCTGAGGATGCTGTAGTCACTTCGGCTAGGAGAGCACTCCAAATGAATTCAACCCTTAATAAGGAAGAGTGGGTCTCTGCCTGAATTTTGCTCTCTTTGATATGCATTTTTTGGGGTTGCTTAGCGAACCGTGCTGGCGAGGTTTTGGTAGTATGCCTATGTTGGTATTGCTTGGTGTATTTACTATTCCTTATTCCATTATCAGGTCACCTCTTGTCTTCATGCAGCCCAACGAGAATAACTCAAAATGTTGAGGTCTTCCTTCGTAAGATTTTTTCCTCAGCCCTACCACCCACTTTGTTGCCCTTTTTCTTCATTTGTTCGAATAGATATCTTTTCCAAAAAGAGAGAGCAGAATGCACTAACGTCGTAAACTTTGTGCATAAGTTGTGAGGATGTTTCATAGTACTAGAAAGAATTTTGGGGTGATAATACTAAGCCGTCTTCGTAAAAAGCGGAGTTGCATTTGCTCTGACTGCATCCTCAGTGTGGTTTGTGTTGGTGTTCAAGCAAACCTAAGTAATATGATACACAGTCAAATAGGTTGGGTCGCGTAAATTCTTCCTTTACTCATCTTCTGATCATGAAGATGTTATCACTAGGTGTCCATTTCTTGTCTCGTTTATTCTTGTTTCCTCGTTTCCATTTCGTGACTTTTGTAGTTTATTTTCGGCATCTTGATCCAGTGAACTGTTATGTGACGTCCTACGTTTTTGTATTTCGTTTCAGTTTTATATTACTCGAGGCTATTCACATTTCTCCAAGTGGTTAGCAACTGTTTATCATGGGCAAAAAACAGCATCAGAAAGATAAACTGTAAGTTGTCTTTTTAATTATTTAACTGTACACATGTGTAACGAAGTTATATTACATGTACAGAGTGGAGTACATTGTATGGTGGAAAACGTGCTACTGATAGTGGTAGACAGTTTAAACGTCTTCCATTTCACTGCTGCAGGTGAGTAGGAGATTTGTCTTAAGGATTTTTTTTTTTAACTACTTTTGGTTTTTTTTACTTAAGCATCTCCTTTCAACCTTTTTTAAACCCATATTGTACAAAAGAGGGAATAATTTTCGACTTGGAGTAAGTCAACCAAACAATTAAAATGTAATTTACAGGAATATCTTACCATTTTTGAAAAAGCATGGTATTAATCCTGTTACTGGGATGGTAAGTAAATTAGCCTTCCATAACAGTACTTTTCCCTAATTGTTTTCCTATTTTTGTAGAAAATGAAGATGAGTGAATTAATCAAGTTAAATTTTCATCGAAATTCTGATGGGAAATTTCATTGCCCCGTAACATTCAAAGTATTTAATGAAAATACACACATTGTTGCAATTAAGCCAACGGGGAACGTATACTCTTTTGATGTAATGTTGATTTTGAATTTATTTTAGTAATTAAATATACTTACACATATACTTCTAGGCTGTTCAACGTTTGAATTTAAAGGCGAATAATTTCCTTGACTTGCTCAATTCCGAATCATTTACAAAAGATGATGTCATCACAATACAAGATCCTACACAACTAGAAAAGTTTAATATTTCCGCTTTTTATCATGTAAAAAATAAAGAAGAGGCGCAAAGTTCGTCAAGATAATTTTATTCGTTATTAATTAATTCATTACGATGTTTTGTTTAGATGAAGGCAATGTAGTAGTTATACGTTCGTTAAATCAAGAAACCAAAGAAACTTTAGCTGAATTACCAAAAGAAATTTCAGTACCAGACTATATGTATTCAACTAGGAAAAATTCAGACACAGGAAAAAAGCGTGACGCTTTTAATACAGTAAACAAGCAGTCTTATTGTTACCAGTTATCTATTAATTGATCCTTTAGGCTACTTATTCAACTGGTCGAGCAGCGGCTTCACTTACGTCAACTGTTATGGAACCAGTAACAAAAATTGAACCGGGTTTGTTTTAAAATTCACTTAACTGATATGTTCCAATTTTAGCGATTCTCGAAGATGATGTAGTCCGATACAAATATGTGAAAAAGAAAGGCTACGTCAGTTTGGTCACATCACACGGAAAGTTAAACCTTGAGTTGCATTGCGATTTGGTCCCGAAAACGTGTGAAAATTTTTTACGTCATTGTTCTTCTGGTTACTATAATGATACAAGTTTTCATAGACTAATTCGCTACTTCATTGTATGTCCAGTTTATTGCTTGTGAATAAAGGTCATTATGGTGTTGTTTTTAGGTTCAGGGAGGCGATCCAACTGGCACTGGGTTTGGCGGTGATTCAGCATGGGGTGGATCTTTTGCAGACGAGTTCGTTCCCAATTTAAGTCATGATACACGTGGTGTTGTATCTATGGCTAATTCTGGACCGAATACTAATCGATCTCAGTTGTAAGTAAAAATTGTACATTTATTTTATTCAAAATATCTTTTCAGCTTTATTACTTTCCGAAAGTGCAAGCATTTGGATCGTAAGCATACTGTGTTCGGCAAGTATGTCCCGTGACATTGATCGTATATATATTATAATTAACATTTAGGGTTGTTGGAGGTTTAGATTTCTTGGGAAAAATTGAAATGATGGAAACCGATAAAGACGATCGACCTTTAGTAGGTGGAATATATTTATTTTATTTATGATATTTTGTTGTTTGATACTTGTCTAATTTACAATTGATTGGTCACTGGGTGGTAAACAATGTCATGTATGTCAGGTCCTTCTTAGTGCAGATCGAATCCTATCGACCAAATTGCAATGTGGCCACTAGTCTAGGTGACTTGACATTGCATGCACAATGTTAGGATGAGATGGTGGTTGGAGGTAGTCGACAAGAAACTCTGAACCTAGTTTTCGTGCTATTTTGGTCGATGGGATTCGATCTGCACCAGGAAGGACCTGACACACATGAAATTGATCACCACCCAGTGACCAATCAATTATAAGTACATCTCAGTCCTACAGGAGGCCAGTTGCGGCCCTGATAGCCCAGCGGTAGCGTCTCTGACTGTGAAGCTGAATGACACAGGAGTTAATCCGTCAGGAAACATCAGTTCCCTCAAGATTACAGGTACACCTTGCTGACGAGTGCCAAAATAGCACCAAACATAGGTCCAGGGTTTCCTGTCGACTAACTCCAACCACCATCTCACTTGTCTACTTTATTGTACAAAAATGAAGATATCGATGTTTACTGTAATTGCGCATAAAATAACTAGGTTCAACACAGATTTTGTCCTTTAGGTTATACTTGCTGCAAAAAACACAGATACTGTTCAACTTTATAAACTGAAGTTTATCAGGTTTGAATCAATGGATCAGATTACTGGTTCACAGTTCTACCAAAGGTGATTAAACTCTTACTTTTTAAATAAAATAAACTCAAAACGTCTACTTATATATTCAGCACGAATAAATGTATATGATTTAAGTAATATATTATCTACTGCATAGTCAGTGCCTAGCAAACTTATCGTTAAGTATACTGTTATGACTTTTGCCCTTGTTAATATATCGTGTGATAATGTCGCCAATTAGAACACTGACTCGTTGATCGGACCAATGACGCATAAACCAATACGAGCAGCCTAGAATTCTTATTGCACCTCCTGGATAGTAGCTTCTCTCATAACCCAGCCCATTCAGTACAGAACGCCATTATATAGATCATATATTTCAGACATACTTGGTTTATATACAAAAAAACCAGATCACATCATAACATGAACTAGAAAATAACAATTATACAAGATCAAGTCAGGAAGTGCCTGTGACTGTGAGAGACTGTTACTAATAAGAAGAACTCAGTATAGCTCTGCATAATTATATATGTTTAATATATTGCTAATTATCCATCATTTCAACTTTCCTGATTGGATGAGGAGATATTGTCCTTTGGTTATATCTTATGCGTGATTAGGAAGACATACAAATCATAAATTGTGAAGTTTACGTCGATCCATTCAAAGATGTTGATGAAATGTTATGTAAAGAACGTGCTAATTACAGTGAAGAAATAAACATCGATAATGCTGATAAAAGCATGCATCCGAAGCCAGGTAATCGTCAGGAGGAAGAAGCTTTGGAAGCTGCTGAACGTGCTAAACGCAACAAACAAGATGGTAAGTGTTACTGCGCCGAAGATGTGTTAGGCTAATAGAACTATGTTATTCTCATATGATGTTCACAACTTGATGCTTTTTAGTCACTAAAATAGATAACAGCATCCCTTATATAAACAGTTATTATACTTGTTCTATCGTCATTTAGCCAAGCCATTAATGTAGTATAGTGTTCCACTTATCGTCAATGGAGTTTTAGTATAAAAAACAGTTAATGGTCGCAAAGTGCTAGAGGACTCTTGTAATTAGCAGTGATAAGGAGCACATAGCCGTTTAGTTGTATTCTGGGTTATTAATTCTAAGGGCGCGACTATTTTCTTGTATAGCCAAATGGCCAGCTTGAAACTATTAATACGGATATTGAAGACTAACACTCCGATCTTACACATTAGTGTTGTTGTAAATTGTCGAGTTAATAGAAAAAGATAACATTTTGAGGACTGTTCTCCTGTGATTCAGTTTATATTTTTAACGTGTATTTGTTCTCATGTAAGTTTCCATTCAACTCACCAACTATTGATATCTCTGTTACCACTCATAATCAACTGCTAATTAATTATATATCTGTTACTCACTATTGGAACTATTATAAAAGAACAAATTGTTCGCTATCCATTAATACGAATGTACAATATACAAAATAATTGAATGGGCACCCTAGACCACCATACCAAATTAATAAACTATCACATGAAGTTATACCAGTAATAGACAAGTTATATCCTTGATATTTACCAAAAGCTTACATTCATAATGCTTAGTTTAAAGATTAAATCGCAAAGTGTGGCTGCTGTCATATGATGCAAGCCTTCTTCGCTTGTACGAATAACATACATGTGTGTAAATTGTAGTAATAGCTATGGGCACGTTTACTCTTTTGATGTGACAAAAACCTATAACCGGATGTAATCCGTGTTAATGAAAGACTATCCTCCTCCTAATTCTAGTAATCAAAAGGACTGTTCGTATTGATCAAAAGAAAGACATATTGCTTTATATTATATCAGTACAACAATCCAAACAGTTACACTTAAATAAGCAAACGGAAGCATAACGTCGATATAAAAAATATCAGTAAAAATCAAGCAATTAAACACTACCGTATAGATTTTCCCATAGATTTTGCTGTGTTCTTCCAAATACATAACTATTTATAAATATCATTATGATTTACTTTCAGGAATTGCGAGTCAAGTGTATCGAACAGGTGTTGGTAAATTTATTCATGATGTAGATCAATTTGACACTAAAGCTATAACCAATAAACACGGTAAAGATATTGATTCTAATCTACAGATGAATGAAGATGTTTTACGTAAGAAACAGAAACTTGTATTAAAGTCACAGTTAACTGACTTCTCTTCATGGTGATATTATTTTTCAACGAATTTTTGTATATTATCAAAAATATTTTTTCCTTACCAAATAGTGTTTTGTTATTTAACATGATTCACATCTACATGGCATATTGACAGTTTCTCAAAAATTGAAGTAAGAGTGATGTAAAGTTTTTATATCCCTTATCAATAACACCTAAAAAATATTTATGCACATGCTGAATTAGCGTTAAATTGTAACCTAGAACTTCGGAAACACGTCTTTAATTTCATATTGGCCAATTCATAAAGTACATGGTGTTTATTGTAACCCACTGGGAAGATGTTCAATAGTTTCAAATTCTGCTTACAGGACTAACAGACCTATCCATAATTGTTACAATAGCGGTATTATGTACACATTAAACACATGGTTATCTGATAAACACAACCTCTCGATTATCCGACGAACGACAAAGTACCAGATATTGGCTAAAAAAAGAGTAGACAAGTAGTGGAATCAAGGATGCGCGTTTCATGCTATTTGCAACTCGTCAGTTGGAAGTACTTGCATCCAAACTTGATGCTTGCGTCAGTACTCGAACCCATCATATATCGCTTTAAACAAGCTAGTGTACCCAGTAATTTGATCAACGGGTAAGGTGTTTTTAGTTAGTATGGGTTTGAACTATCCTGTCGTTGATATTTAGGACTGAATCTCGACCAGTCTCTGTTGGCGTTGTAGATCCTGATTGGATTACCTTAAAGAAGCCATTCTTTAGAATAGATGGCAGTGGAATTCGGGACATTCAGTAGATAACCTGTTGGGTGTATGAAAAGAGGTTTCGAGTTGCAATCCAGACGTAGTCATCAACATCAGAACCCAGCTGATATATATATATTTGTTCATATTTACTGAGTTTTTGTAAAACTATTCCAATAATCAGTTAGTATATATATATAGTATACATTGATTTGCTTTGAAATCTATGCCAATGTAAATAATAACATAAATCTAGGGTCTGTTCTATCAAAGAACATTAGAAATATCGATAGAGTTTAAATTTTTATATTCACGTTGTAATGAACACGAACGCAAGTGGGAACAATCGAATGTATTTGACATAAAATTACAGAGCAACTCAATAAAATCTGAGAACCATACAGTAAATAGTTAATTTGCAAAATATCAATCCGTCGTCTCAAACTTGACTGTTCCTTTACAAATATCTATCCATTGTCTTGCATTTTTTTCTTATACCGATGGCGTTCCATTTCCGTTCTTTCCTTATCGATCTTCTACTGAAATACATTTTATGCCTGATCATCGTTATGTACTACTTATGTAGATAATAAGTAACCCATGCTACAATGTTATTAAACTTGGTAGAGACATTATATAAAAGGTAAAATGACTTCATAACTATTAAGACAACAGTAAATGAAAAACAATTCAAAAATACAACTAATTGACAAGTGAATCAACCATTAAATATATACAATTATGATAACATCTTATATATATATATATATATATATATATATATATATATATATATATATATATATATATATATATATATATAACCATTTGACAATGAATTTATCACAATTTCTTTATTGAAAAATTTTAAAACATATCATTTGTTCAGTAAAGTATAATAACCATTATGAAATATATTACATAATCAGATAGTATACTATTGGAAATTGATCCTTTTAAATAAATATATAGTTTAGTTTTACAAACTAAAAAGAAAGAAAGAAACAAATAAATAAAGAATTTAAAATGAACATAAAAATAAATATAACAAGAAATTAGTATCTCCCCCCCCACTAAGAAAAGAATTAACATATTAAATATTGTCTGAATTTTGTGAATTCAATAACATAGGATATTGATACATTCGTGAATAGGAAGTATTTGTAATTGAATTTAAAATTTGTCCAATAAAATTTTCCACTGTAGATTCAAAACATCTGTAATAAATTTTTAAAAAAAACAATAACACAATTATTCAATGAAAAACCTATAATTTCAACAGTTGAGATCATGAGTCGATTGAAGTTAGACCACCATGAGAAACCTGGAAGCATTGGACGGTCGTTTCGTCCAATTGTGGGACTCCTCAACAGTGCGCATTCACTATAAGTAAATGAGTAGCAAATATTTACTATATGTGAAGGTATTCAAAATAGGGGTGTTATAACGAGATTGATTTACTCATTATGATTTTTATTCAATAGTAATTCCGTTTTAAATTCAATTTGATGATTAATCAGTATAGTATTTGTTTGTTTCCCAGAGTGACATTTTATTCTGTATAAAATACGATATATTTGTATAAAGTATTTTACATATATGTGATTTATTCTAATTATTCATGAAAAATGGGTGTATGAATCAATATATAAAAATGAGTGTATTTCCGACTAGACTTGTCATGGTTACTTGTGCTTCTAGTTGCTTGCGGAATATATTTCCCCGTCCGAATTAAGACTACTCACTCGAGTTAGCGGAGCTGGAACGCATCAGAATAGCTAGCATATTGGTCTTTAGCCACAGAGTCTTTGTTCCGTTCGCAGACTAGGTGAACTTGAAATTGCTTCAAATATAGCATGAATGTACTCAAAATGCCTGATTAATACATAAATAAGTTGGAGATTGTCACATAAGTCTTTTTTTCAAATAAAAAAAACCATAATATAAACAATAAAAATGTAACGAATTCATCAAATATTCTTACTTTAAATTATTTGGGTGAATACCATGTTTAATCTCTTTGAGAATGTCGTCAATACACGCTGGAATTTGATTCATGTACCGATGATCAGATAAATTCTATATTTTATTTTCATGATAAATTGTAACTTACACTTAAATGTATGAGAATAGAAATAAGCTTAGCAACAAGATCCAATTTGTCTTCATCAATTAATTTATATGTCTGAAAAGAAATTTTTTGTATTAATGAACAAAACGAAAAACTACTTCAACTTTTTATCGCAAGTATAAAATAGCTAACTAAAGTACCCCAGCTTACAGAATGCGATTTTAAAAAGAGAATGACTCGTTTAAGGTGAAGTGATCTCGTTTTTGGGAACTCATCTTGAATTACAACTATAAGACGATACAATTTGGTGAAGATCTGGAGTTTACTCAAAACCTTGAGTCATAATGTAGGTATGTTCAAGACGTATGTTTCTTACATTAAATGCAAAATTTTCCTTTGTGAATGGTCTGCATCATTGCCTAGATTGTTTGTAAAGTATGGATTATCTAGATATTATCCGGGATCACTTGATGTGCTGAATGATATATCGAGATGAGACCTGATGTTCTGTCACCGAAGACAATAATAATGAACATAAATTCGTAGAAGATTTGAATAGATTGAACTTCATTTCCTGGTCTTCAATACTAGATACCAACTACTACGTTACCAAATAAGCAGTTGCATATATATACAAAATGTGAAGCTCAAAAATATATGATTTTAAGTTAGCTGTCATGATAGCGTACGCAGAGGAAGTATCATTGTAGTAACGTTTATTGTTAACTACCAGATCTGACTTTCGGACTAACATTCCACTGGGCTTCGAAACAACATGGCATCCAACAAATAAAGGATATAATTGGACACTATATCCTTTGAGACATAAAAGCAAAAAGATTGGTTCAGCCAAGCATTTGAATCCCTGGTCGGGAACTGGATTAAGATCGTTTATCTGATTGATTAGGTTATCGAACTGAACGTGTGTGGAGTTTCGAATTTGTGGTGTTACAGGTATGAGGGCAGCTATCACTTCCCTGTTGCCCACACCGTGGAAGGGTCCTTCTGGTGGTACCTGAAAAGGAAATTGGGTGATGAGTGATCCTAGTGACCTGAGAGCGTGACCGCTGCTTGAAGTCGGTAACACAAGACCTTCTTGCGAGTATTCCTCGTGTTAGCCGGAGACGGAAATCCGTGGGATGAGGTGAGGTGTGTATTTTTATTGTCGACCTTTCCTAACCCCACCCCTTCATGTGAGAAGGCAGCATCGCTGTTAACCCGGTTATCTGGAGAGAACACATTACTGTTGTTACACCTCTGTACAATCAGCAGTAAGACTTTGCCCTCAGACATTGGGTTTGCTGCTTTTAGTCTTACCGCTCTTTAAATGACTTGTCTGGCATGGTATGACCTTGAGAAACGATTGTTCCAGCCAGTATAGCTCGATTGGTTCATCACGATAGGTAAGCCCGGCCACCACGCCAAGGTAGCAGCAACGGTCGTGTGGCTTACTTCGCATACATAGGGCTTTCAGATCTAAAGCTGAGTAGAATATTAAAGAATGACTGAACACACTTTTTTCAGGATTATTTAGAATGTATACTAGGTTTCCGAAGCTTTCACGCTTTTAATGAGTTGAATACAAGTTTTGGGCACATGTATCGGTAATTGCGACGAAACACTTATTTGAAGTCCAAAGGTAGTCAGTCAGTAACAGATCATATGATACGTGAGACCTTCGTGATATCTTGTAGTGGCTCAGCTTCGTTAATCAATCACCTTGATAACCGTTAGTGTATAAACCCCAACAGAAAGCAATAAGAGGCCGCGACTACAGTTTATTAGCGGATAGCACAGACAACAAAGTTCTAAGCACATCGAGCAAATTTGGAGCAGAGAGGCTAATGTTTGTGTGCTAGCGAATACAGAGGCGAGTTTATAGTCAAATCGAATCAAGGCACATTTAGGCAATTTATAGGATTCGAACACATATATACACGGGAAAGGGAATGATTCATCCAGAAATATTCAAGCTAGAGAGGTGTGTGTGGGCTATCACATGTGATCAAGCGTAAAGGTTTATACAGATATGATAATGATCATAATAATACAAAGAAATAGATGAATTGTTACTGTTCGAATAGCATTGTCTGTTAAGTAAGTTAATAAAAAGGTCTGACTGAAATTGAAACTAATCGTAAGAGCGTTGCTACAATCCCGTACTTTAGCTCTGTGACGTGTGAACAGATAGTATTAACAATTTTATGTCGCTCGAGTGATTAAGAGATTGGATAGATATGATTTTTACAAGTTAACTTTTGCATTCACCCCAATAAGTTTCACAGAATAACGTAAAAACCCACTAGATTGCTTTTACTGTCAAAAACCAACTTTTCAACTCGATTTCGACATTACTATAGGTAAGCCTAACTAATATGTCAAGGTAGCAGATACGTTAGAGACAGATAGTGGATCTTTGTATGGGGATAGGACTCTTGAACATAAATATCACAAAGTGAGTAAACTGTACATACTTAATTTGAAAACTTGGCTAATCCGACAAACGATTTTAACCCAGTTTTCGACCAAGAAGTTCAACGCTTTCCTAAACCAGTCTTTCTTGTTTGATGTATTTAGACTCATGTTTTTTTTACTCAACTTTTAAATTACTTATTTCCTTCCTAAGAATTTCAAAAACTTATTACTTGTAATTCTTTCATCCGATTAACTATTTCTTGAGCTTCATCACTACAGCGACGTCTCCAGTCGATAACGGAATTTAATTCCATCATGTTATGTTCTTGTGCCATCTATAAGAAAATAAAATGCAGAAAGACGATTGTACAATGTACTGCAATAAATCCGAAATGAAGAACACAGGAAAAATAGAGACTAAACAAAACTGACATTAGTTCGAAAACAGACAGAAGAAACATCGGGTTGGTTGACATGACGGTTACATCATGAAAATTGTAGTCGTGCAAGGTGGATATCTATTGGTAAACTTTAGGATACGTGACTTAAAACTAATGTAATTGTTAGGTGAATCGTACAATACGAGTTTACGAACATATATTTCGTTAACCCAACCGTTGTTGCTACCTTGACGTGGTGGTCGGGCTTGCCTATCGTGATAACCCAATCGAGCTATATTGGCTGGAACATATGTTCCTGCAGGTTCTACCATGCCAGGCAGGTCGATTGGAGAACGGTAAGACTAAAAGCAACAAATCCAAGGTCCGAAGTCGTACTGCTGACTGTACAGAGGTGTGACAGCAGTGAGGTGTTTCCTTCAGACAACCAGCATAACAGCGATGCTGCCTTCCCACAAGGAGGGGTGGGGTTAGAAAAGGTCGACCCTAAAAATGCACACCTCGCCTTATCCCACGGATATCCGTCTCCGGCGGTAAGGTCTCAACAAGTACGGAACTAACACAAAAATTTCTCGTAAAAAGGTCGTGTGTGACTGACTTCAAGCAGCTGTCCCTTGGGCACTGCGGTCACGCTCTCAGGTCACTATGACCACTTCTAATCCAATTTCCTTTTCAGGTGCCTCCAGAAGAACCCTTCCAAGGTGTAGGCAACCGGGAAGTGATAACCGCCCTCATATCTCTAACAGCACTCAAGATCACTGTATTCATAATCAACCTCTTCAGTTCGTTAAACCTATCGGAAAACCAACCACATTATTTGTATAGTCGAAGTTTGCATTCAAACCATTATTTTCAGGAAAAAATTGGTTCATATTTGTGAAAGTAGATAGGACAAACGAAATAGTTTCTAACATCGAGAGTGAAACGTTCATTAATATCAATAATTTAAAATGTGTTTTATCTATCTGAACATATTATGTTGGGGATTAAATAGGGTTTGACAGACTTAAAAGATTTGAGGAGTAACACCTATCGACTGTAAAAGAATTTAGGAGGAACTAGGATCATTAAAAACAAGAAAATTTGATCATGGTTGTGTTTGGTTATCGAGTACATTTTTCCGATTTATTCCTTTACTTGTTTAACTTCTATAGAGGAACAGATGGCAAATGAAGTGATTAACCTCATGGCAACAATGAGAAAAGGACTGAGTAAAACAACCACAAACATTACAGAAGCCAAATTATGGATGGATGACCCGAGATTACTGTAATTATTATCTCACTACCAGGTACAGATTCGTGGTGGTGTTAAGCGAAGCATCAAATGTGGGGGCTGATGATATTACCTGGTTGCTTAAACCTAAATAGGTGGAGTGGAGTTCGAATCTGTGACGTAATGATTGAAAGCCAGAAACCTCAACTAGTGAGCCAACCACTTCACAAAGGAAGTCAGAGACTGCTGATATTGTTTCAAAATTACGGAAAAACGACGTGAAATATAGCTTGAATAAATAAAAAAACATTATTCATAATCCTAACATGAAATTATATATAAGTAGCCCATTCAACTGTGCTTTAAAATATGAGAATTTAAGAGAAAAACGAAAAAGAAGTTAATATACATATGTGTTAGTTAAATTTGCCACATACAATAAAAACCATAACACAAGAAGAATTAATAAAGTGTAGGGAAAAAACAATGCAAATAAACGTTAATGAATAATACATTTACAAAGTTTCAAAAGTAAAACGATTAAAAAGTATCAGAAAGTAATATGGAAAGCGGAAAGGGTGACCTAGAGATTAGATTACTCAGCATTTAACCGGCTGGTTGCAGGTCCAGATGTCGTTTTATTTACCTTCACATACAAACGATGCAATAGAAGGCTAAGCACATAAACCTATACATGATGTATGGATTACTACATTAACATGGAAAATGGTGAATTTGAAATCACCAGATTTGTATTTGGAGAACGATTAAATAATATAGTTCCTGGTACACATGACTAAAGTAAATCAGAATCTTAATATTTCTTATCAGACCGCTGACCAGTTTCGCCAATGAATCGAAGTTAAACGTGTGAACCATTGGATGCTGACTCAGTGGACAAAAAGACAAGCAGACACCGCGCAACCTGAAAGTATTCGGTCCAATCTCCAGTGGCTCCATATGTGCACACTACTGAGGAGTACAATGCTAGGACAAAATCTGTCCATTGATTTCTGATACTAAATGCCTGTCTCAATAAAGTCAATCCGTGATGTAGACTACAAAACTGGACAGTCCCTAAAAACCCTAACAAATCTCAGCTTTTGCTGAATACATTACGTAGTTGTAGAGAATCAATAACATCAATCAGTTTTATACTTTACAAACAGTTTCAAATTTATTATTTAGATCAGTTTCTGATAAAGTAAAAATCCATTTGGACAATTTATTGTTTTTCATGACGGAAGATATTCTTAATGTTCCTCATATATTTAAGAATATACAATGGATAGTTGATTTCGAAATGAATAGTTTACAAGTAACCATATTTTCTGCCAAGCAATAATTTCAAAATTTAACGAAAACATGTTTAGCTGAAAATTTAAATCATACAAGTCATTTTATTTTAATGTCACATTTGTATTTCAAAGAAGTGAACTTACAGTTGACACGTATAGAAGTACTTGATTCATATAATGTTTTAATTCTCGATTAATTTTATCTATATTTAATATGAGTGTTGCGTAAGTATGTTGAAATTGTATAGTGATGTTATTCTGGTTCTCTGAAAGCTTTGAGGATGAACAATAATTGCAGATTACTAATTTCAGATAAACAAAATTACCTTTATTTCAGCAGTATCATTAAATTGTCTTAATGTTTCAATTGATGAGCGCTTTCTCTCTAAAATCTTGTGGAGTTTAATCTTTGAAAAATAAGCATAAAATATAAAGGAAGGTATTAAGGATAAATGAAAGGACAAATCAATTCTTCATAACATCACTGAAAATCTTAACTGTTTCTAGATTTTAAACGTGTTTTAATTTGTGATGTAAGAACGCGTCTCTTTCAAAGGTGTTATTATTATTATTATTTTAACACATAAGTATAGGTACAGGGAGGCACCAAATACATATGCGCCACACAAATCTCAATTGATTTGTGTGAGGGCTGTGATACTGCCCGCGTGCCCAGACCGAAGCAGGTTCAATGAAGGTGTAAAGCAAACCTTTATATTTTATGTAAAAGTACATCGTATAACAGAGAATTTTTGAAGTGACAATGGAAGCATCATAGCTATGAAAGTAAAGGTCTTCCCCTCAAATGATGAAGTATATCACATGATGTACGCGGAAGCAAGAACAATAAACAGTTCAGACCTATTGAGGGCTTTGAGGAAAGATACATGTGTTCATACTCTGTATTTAAATAGCATATATTCAGGGGTGAATCACTAAATGAAGAAGTTATCTAATTGTTGTGAACCAGTGCTGAGTAAGGTCGGCTGAAACAGATCGGAAAATGGATAACGGTTACCGAATCAAACTACGTAACTGTTAGCTGTATATCGATTAGATTAAAGCATGTTCCGTGCATGATTATGTTGAGGCACGCCGATTGGCCATTTCCTAACCGGCCAATTAGAGGATACTTGGAGAAGGCTCTAAAATCTTACGTAAAAATTATAAATATACTAACACTTCTCATATTCTGATTCCCATTTATATCCACCCACGTTATTTGGAATATTATTACGTCCCTATTCAACAGTGTCTCGATTTGGATACTTGTCGAGTGAATTAGTGTCCAAAGTTACTAAGCAATAAGAGTAGCTGGGTCTTAATAAGAGAACTCATAACAGTACCTAATCATGAAATCACTAACTAATAGTCCATTCTATTGATAAAAAAACAGAAATTTTTTACTTGAAGAGTCTTAGTGATAGAGTTCAAGAAAAATGACAATGACAGAGATTAATTTAGTCTATATCTTCCCTTAAACCCAAACACTTATCACACGACTTATTTTGCTTTAATCTGTTCACTCATTTTCGCTTTTCTTGTTCTCTACTACCATAGTGAAGTAAATTGACCCGATGTAGTGATGCCCAAGGCTCAATTTCGTTGTTTATGTTATCACATATCCACCTTTACATTTTTAAATCATTATCCCGGACAGAATGAGACGCACATCATGAATTCCACTGATATCCACAATCTAAAATTACAAAACCCGTAACTACGGGTAATATTGAGGGAACCAATCAGGGTCCATATATGCCAGTAGAGACACGGAAATTCAGTCCTGAATATCAACAAGGGGAAAACACAAACCCTTATGAATGATATCTCATTTTATATACATTTTCTGTGCACCATTTCAGTTGATTTAATCCTTCAAATATTTCCTATTGTCATATTATCATTAGCATTTCTGTATTTTACCTTGTAAATTTATAAAACAAACAAATTGCCATGAGATTTTACTAAAATTAAACTAAGTAAAGGAGTATAAATTAATGAGCTAGAATTACTCCAGAGTATTACGTACACTGAGTTTTTTCCAACTTATTCCTAGTTGTAAACATTTATTGAAAAAGAATTATAATATTTACGAACGAAAATTTTACCGATAATTCAAACAGTTACCAAGAACGAAGTACAACTTAAAAGCTAACCACATGTTGCTATTACATTTAACAATGACTAGATTATCACGCTTATCATTTCTTCACTAACAAAAATGGAGATGACTCAATGATGAAGTTAACAGCTCAACAGAAGCGATTATAAAGTACAAAAAAGAACAAGTTCAATCGGAAAATCAAGCATATACTTAACAAATAACTTACAATATTAATAAGAAATCTATTGTACGATTGATAGTCGGTTTTCTGGTAAGATGTTGTTTGTTCTGAACAAGGTGATGTTATTACAGAGGGATTATCAAATTTAGGTTTTGGGATTAAAAGATTTCCTGATGAAACTTGTGAATTATTCATATGTATATGATCTGCACCACATATACTTTCACTTAATAAAGGTCCACAAGTAGGTGATGATTCTAATAAATTATTAGACTTATTTGAAAATTTACTTACGAACAACACAGTGTAAACGATTACTAGATGATTCAACCGTTTTATTAATGGTATTTATGAAGTTAGCATTAAATTCGGATGAAAAAACAGTGACATCACTGTTTATTATATTTTCTTTAAAATAATTACGAATCTCTGAAAGTGTTACAGAAGGTGGTAACGACTGATTTGGCAAAGGAAAGACATTTTCTTCTGGAACAATTTGACAGCCGTAATATCTAGAAGATTTCATTTCCATGTAATCATTTGAAATAATTAACTCATCAACCCAAACAGCATAATGTCCATCTCCTGGACACGAATTTTGTATCAGTCCAAGATATAAACCTTGCATGGGAGTGTGAAGGCTAAATGGACTTAGATTAAATGACATGTACTCACCAAACACATACTCTAATACCAACTGGTAATCGAAGGGGAATTCGAATTGCTGGTGGCAAGCATAATAAAAGATTATCTAAATGTTCTGACGCCATTGGACCAAGAGAACTTGTTGAAATGATGTGCTGTATGTATTGTATATTTTTACGTTTTACTTGCACAGAGTATCGTTCTTCAGAGAGGAAAGTGGCACTGAAACGGCGTGGTCTCCCTATGATACGTCGAATAGTTGACCAATGACCTCGACTTAACTTTCGAGACTTTAAAGTAGGAAAGTGTTCTCGTAATATCAGCTGGAAGTCATTAACCCTTAGAAATATTTCCCTGAAGAAAATATAAATTAATATAAAAACCACATGCTTGTCTATGCTCGAATACAGCCACTCATGCTTCAACCATTCACAAAACTTAGGGGTGGTGAACATGTTGCAACATATTTTTTGAATCTCTTTGGGATCTGGTAAGCTAGTCGTATAGCATATTATGAATTACATGAGTTCAGAATATAACTCGTATCTGTACATTCATCAATAGGATTGAAAGACTGAAACTGACTATTAACGAGCTCAGTACTTTGGGCTTGTATTTCACAGTCTTGTGTACTGTAACCAACAGTTTCTGAGTTTCTTATACTCATAGTCTTGACGAAAATCTAAAAATGAGAAAACTGATAACATTAATTTATAGCACTTTATAAGACTAGAACATTAGTGACCTCATTTTCAAGCACATTGAATTGGTTGGTAAGCTGTTAGTCCATGATTTGACACTGATAAAAAGCAGTTTTACTATTTGGCCGATTCGGTTGATAAATATTTTAGTTGGATTTTATAGCCAATGTAACTTAAAAATGCTTTAAAATTAAACTCAGTAATAGCTATAGAGTACTTCCTTTCCCTTTTATAAGAAACACAACATAATGTAGAAACTGGCACAAAATTGGATCAGTTCAGACAGCCACATTTTAGAATAACAAAGATCTTTGGCACTTTAAGTACAATACCCAGGCAGTCTACACAAACAAGATGAATAATTGGTGATAACTTAAACTGTTTTAAGCGGAGAACCATCGTTCAAGATCATCTAAAAAGTCAAGTTGGATCGAAGATTTGGATAAGGAATTTGTACACAGCTACGGCATTGTCAATCTAATACTTAAAACACAATCTCTGTGTGCAAAACATCCATGTTTAGTTCTTGATTCTTCTATGGTCTTAGCACCCATCCCAATTTTACTATTCATAGTGTTTTCTTATTCTTTAACTTTTTCCCTTTTGGAAGTAGACATATGTCTTTAGAACTTGTTGTGGAAATTATTGTCCTTCACTAGTTCCTAAAGAATCACATAACTTTACCTCGTGATAATGATTTATTATTTGGATAAACGATGCAACACTAATATTGTTCAATACTTGGAAGTTTTAATCGACTTGAAATGAAACTCATCTAGAGATATCACTACTTAATAATCGAAGTCTTTCGGTAAACTTTGATCACTTCACTAAATCATACAACACCACTTCATTTTCATGGGTTTTTACAATCGATACTTAAGTTTGACTACCTTTGACCATTTTCTAACACTCCTTTACTTTGCGCCAGACTATATGCAAAAAAAAACACCTGTGAATACAAATTTACAGCCTAAGACAATAATTTTGCCGGAAATATTTCTTTGTTGGGACATCATGCATTTCAATTAACCAATGAACTTGTTTCGCGGTGACAAGAATATATCTTGAATCTATTTAATCATGTCAGCCATCTACAATAGTACCGTGGAATTACTAACTTGATGGGACAGATGCAACGTGTGTCTCGAAAATTGATATCCCTAGTGAAATAATGAGAGTTATGTATATCACTACGTCCGCCGGTACGTAATATTCAAATGAATAAAACATCAGAATTTTTCGAAGTGTGTTAATTATTTGGAGTTATAAAATCGTTAAAAAGTCACCTTAATCCAAAGTAACGTACTAGAACCTAGGCCTAGAAATCCTTAGTTATCCAACACGATAACCTAGAATTTAACACCATATGAATTTACCTCATACACTATATCAGTAATATTCCGACCTGACTAAACAAACCTTCTTGTTTTTGATAATAACTATATCAAGTCACTTGATTTGCTGTTAGCTCCCTCTTTATAAAGTTTGAAAAAGGCAGTGTTATTTTCCTCGCTGAGTAAATTTTACTGTTTAAACCTTAACTGAAATTATTTCAAATAAAGTATTATCTAAGAAAATTGTTTTTATTTCAAAAGTAGTTTGTCTTTGGTACTTTTGAGAACTTTGTTTCTGTTATATTTGTTTACCCTTTTAGTTCTAAAAATTTACATTTTTCCACTTTCTTTTGGTCATCAATTTGTTTTATCTCTGGATGTTATTGTACCTAGTTTCCTTATGAAAACCTCTGTTTGATGGCTGGACAGTGCAAGAAAAGCAATCGCCATCGCCCAGGCTGTCGATACCCCGTTGAAAGCGGTATGCAGTGTGACGAGTGCAAAGAATGGTACCACGAAGTTTGCATGGATCTAACGCCTGGAGGTTTGAAACTGTTTAGTGAAAAATGCTGCGTATGGCTTTGTAATCAGTGCTGCTTAAATGCAATCCAATGTTAAGTGCTGCTAAAAAGTGTATTAGCAAACAGGGTTGAGATATATCGGACGGTACTCGCTCTATCGACACACAAATTGATGTGAAGCCACCTCAAATAAGCTCGGTAACAGCTTTCAGACATCGATCAAAGGAGGAATGACTGGCTTCAAAGAGGTCTGTCCTAAATAAAAACTCAAGACAGGAATTTTATACTGTCCCTCGTCCTCCAAATGTTAGTCATCAGGAGACGCTAAGAATCCCAATTGCAAGGCTAGATCTGCTTCTAATGGGAAAAAACAACCTGACTGCACAAGCCATCGATGATCTTTCGAAATCCCGCAGTGTGTTTGACGCAACTGTGTTTGCTACTCCAACAAAAATTGACAAATTGGTGCAGGTTGAGAACAAGAAACTATACAGCGCTATGAAAATAAAGCTTGGTCCACATAAAAGTAGCCGAGATATCAAAGACTGACCACAGTGACAGGCTAGTTATCTTTCATAAAATTAAGGGAGTGAAGGCTCGGAATCTAAAACTCGCTTTGAGCATGATAATGGGTTGATAAAACAGCTAATGCCTAAAGATGTCTCCGGAGTCACCTTAATAAAGATGTGTAGATTAGGTATCCAGACGAATTAAAGACAGAATCAAACCAGGTTGCTTCAATTAGCATTTAAGTCTCCCAATGAACGGAACTTACTTTTACAGAATGAACAAAGACTAAGGGGTTTAGGAGTTTTTCCCGTGAGAATTTTTTGAAGACCGCGAAAAAGTACTACAACCTAGGTTAGATGCTGGCGAAAAAGGCCAAAATATTGTAAATCTTTTGGTTGTGTGACCTTGATAGAGATTGATGCTGAAGGCACTCTGGGTGCAGTCATTTAAGTGGTCCTCAGATCTGCTACACAAATGTTTGAAGCTTGCCCAACAAGCGATCGTAGCTAGGTGTACAGAGAGAATCTACCAAGCCAGGTGAAATTACAGTCACAGAAACTTGGCTGACGCAGACTATAGACAGTATGGGACTTGATTTTGAAGGTTTCGCGTTAGCAGGTGCTGACAGAATCCAGAAGCGGCAAGGAAGAGCAGCTCTACTCATTAGTAATACTATCCTACTTACAATTATTGACAGTGTATCCCATGAGAATGAAACGTGTGAATTAGTTAGTTGCCGCTCGAAATACAAGGGATATTAGCTACTTATTGGTTCGATCCATCGCTGTCTAAGCTGTGAGTTGAATGAGGTTTTGCTAAACGGTATCAATACTTAGCTCCAAAGTGGTCGATGTCCAAACCTAGGGAACTTTACTGCACCCACCGTAGGCTGTAAAAATCTGGGAACTGGGTTGTCGGAAAATTCTCTTGAGGAGGAATTAGTTGATGCAGTTATCACACGTTCTCTAGTGCAACATGTGAAAGAAGAGACTAGGTACGACCCGGACTCTAAATCATCCTTACTAGATATATTGACCCATTATGAGGATGACGTCACAAACCTCGATCACAGCTCTAGTCCCTGACTTCCATATACATGTCATAAAACGAGCACGCGTCAGCCCAACACAGACCCAACGTCTGGAAATCAAATATACAAGATATTATACTTTCAGCATCGTCAGTAGATTTGGTAATAGAGCTAGGGTCACCAAATGAAGTAAATTTGGAAGTATTTCGAAATTTAAACTTGAACGTTACAGCACCCTCATCCCTTGGACTACACCAAGGGATCCGAGTAACTTCCCACCATTGATCAGTAGGGAGACTTACTTACTTACTTACGCCTGTTACTCCTCGTGAAGGAGCATAGGCCGCTCACCAGCATTCTCCATCCAACCCTGTCCTGGGCAATCCTTTCAAGCTCTTTCCAGTTCTTATTCATCTTTTTCATATCTGCTTCTATTTCCCGACGTAATGTGTTCTTTGGCCTTCCTCTTTTCCGCTTCCCTTCAGGATTCCAAGTTAGCGCTTGTCTCGTAATGCAGTTTGATGATTTCCTCAATGTATGTCCTATCCATTTCCATCGTCTTTTCCTAATTTCCTCTTCAGCTGGAAGCTGGTTGGTTCTCTCCCACAAAAGGCTGTTGCTGATGGTATCCGGCCAATGGATGTTGAGTATCATGCGTAGACAGCTATTAATAAATACCTGTACCTTCTTGATGGTGGTTGTTGTAGTTCTCCAAGTTTCAGCTCCGTACAGTAGAACTGCCTTGACGTTCGTATTGAAGATTCTGACTTTGATATTGGTTGAAAGTTGTTTTGAGTTCCATATGTTCTTCAGTTGAAGGAATGCCGCTCTAGCTTTGCCAATACTCGCCTTGACGTCTGCATCTGAACCTCCTTGTTTATCGACGATGCTTCCCAGGTATGTGAAGGATTCCACGTCTTCCAGAGTTTCGCCATCAAGAGTGATTGGATTGCTGTTCTCCGTGTTGTGTTTGAGGACCTTGGTTTTCCCTTTGTGTATGTTGAGGCCTACTGATGCAGAGACTGCTGCTATGCTGGCTGTCTTTATCTGCATTTGTTCGTGTGTATGTGATAGGAGGGCTAGGTCATCTGCGAAGTCCAAGTCGTCTAATTGGTTCTGAGCTGTCCATCGTATGCCGTAGTTTCTCTCAGATGTCGAGGTCTTCATAATTCAGTCGACCACCAGAAGAAACAGGAAGGGAGAGAGTAGACAGCCTTGTCTTACTCCGGTCCTTACTTGGAATGCGTCTGTCAGCTGTCCTCCATGCACTACTTTGCACTGTAGTCCGTCGTATGAGTTCCGGATAATGTTGACAATCTTCTAAGGAACTCCGTAGTGTCGAAGAAGTTTCCATAACGTCCTCCTATCTACACTGTCAAATGCCTTCTCATAATAAATGAAGTTGATGTAGAGTGACGAGTTCCACTCAATTGATTGTTCGACGATTATCCGTAGTGTCACAATCTGGTCTGTGCACGACCGGTCCTTACGGAATCCAGCTTGTTGATCTCGAAGTTGAGCGTCTATTGCGTCTTTCATCCTGTTCAGTAACACTCTGTTGAAGACTT